ACGGGCTAAAGAATTTGTTATGTTATTTGTCGCCCCTTCTTGCAGAATATAGAGGCAACGTTGCTTTGTTCAGGGTATGCTGATGATCAGTGAAAAGGAGTGAACGTCCATTAGTTTCAGCCTACAGTTTATGGATTGGTTTGCTTTTAATTTATGTACTTTTCTTTTTTCAATTTCTTTTGTATAATTATTCCATTTGTGAAATTATGACATTGATACTTGTACTTAAATCAATACGAGGATTTACTCTCTTTCTACAGTAATTTTAATATTGATATTATTTTTTATTTTTAAAATTTAAAATTTTAATTCAATTGACACTAACTTTATTAACGTGTAAGTTTCATCATTTAATTGTTTAAGTTTTGATGATATAAAATTTTTTTTGCTAAAATAATAAAAGAAACCTTAGATTTTATAATTTATTTTAATTTGCATCCAAATAAAATCTTAAATTTTTTATTTGCACATAAATAAATCTTTAATATAAATTATTTTTTATTACAAATTAAAATATAAAAACTTATTTATTATAATAAAAGTATAAAAATTTATATAAAAGTACAAAATAATTTAAGGACTTTTTTAATATTTTATTTTAATCCGTGGTGAATCAGATGGTGAAATTTTTAATTTCCTTTAATTATTTCTTTATTCCTTCAATTTTTATTTTTCTTTCTCTTCCCTCTTTCTAAGCCTCACTTCCTTACCTTTTAAACGCTCGGCAAAAGCCACTCACCACTACCGTCTAACTCTAAAATTACGTCTAACATCAGTCTGCCGTCGTTGGCACCACCATCTTCAATGTCAAACATAACCCAAAAGCTATCCAAATTCCTCTAGACCTCCCCTACGTTTTTATTGGGTTAGATTTATCAAAAGCAACCGAAGAAAGCCTAAATCTAAAGCCCAAGACTTTGGCTCCTCCATCCAAAAATACCAAATTCCACCACTTAAATGACCTATATTTTTACTATGTTTGTCCGCTCCAAATTTTCTCAGTTAGTTTAGCTAAGCTCACCAACAAAATCCCAATTCACTGTCTGTAAAAATTTGTACAAAATCGAACTCCAAGGTAATTTCACAGACAGGGTGAAAATTTTGAGTTCTGTAGTGAAAAAGTTTGGTTTTGCTAATTAAACGCAAAAGCTCTTTACAAGTGTGTTTGCGGTTGAAAAATACTTTTGAAAGATAAAAATATTTCTTTTATCTCTCTATAACTTTAAATTTTTATTATTTTATGCATTTTTTAAAAAAATTTTTTAATACACCAACAAAACTTTTTACAGCAACAGTAAAAACTTAAAATTTTTAAGCTACATTTTTCTAATTACACTTTTAAACACATTTTTTTAGCTCTTTTAAACTGCAACAGTAATACTAAATTAGGCTTTAATTAGAGTGAGCCCAAGACTTTAGATGCAACAAATCTAAGCAAAATTAGAATTATATTTTTTTCACTTTATTTAAAAAATTTTCAACATTTATGTTTGTCGTAACCATTATTTTTAGCAAAATCATAAATGTTGATTCTTAATTTGTTTAAAACTCCAGATCTTACTATTTGTCCACATTGAGTTCTATTCTTATTTTACGTGAGACTTTTATAATATAAAATGGTTCTCTAAACTTTAAAAATTGTATAATGTTTTTGGGAGCTTTAGAGAGTAGCTTGTAACTCTATCTTTCACTCTAGGTGGAGCTAGAGTGCGTTTGAGTGATTGTTCTTGTGAGGCTATTTGGAAGGGGTAAAGGGCCTTTGGGTTGGTTTGGAAAATCAGAGAGAGAACTCATCGTAGTTGAATATCTTAATAGTAGAAGGACTATTTACTTTGTGGAGCTAGATATGTGATCGAACCATATAAATTTTTTGTGTTTCTATTTGCTTATTTTTTATGGTTTTTTTCGTGTTTCTTGAGCAAGTGGTATCATAGCTTCAGATTTGTTAGATTAATACTCAACATAAGATGACTAAAAAAAATAAAAGTTACAAAGTTTTTGAATTTCTCAATTAAGAAGTTTGACGAGAAAATTAGTTTCACGTAGTGATAGAGAATAATGAAAAATCTCTTTGTGTAGGAAGGTTTGTTGTGCCATTTGCTATATGAAAAAAAAAAAAGCAACCAAATGGTATGAAAGACGATGAATGGGCAAAGTTGGAGGCAAGTTGTGTTAGCACTATTCAGTTTTGCAGTAAGGATAATATGTTTAATCACATTATTGATGAGGATCCCGTCCTAAAGTTGTAAGCAAGATTAGAGAAAATTTATTTGACCAAAAATCTTTTCAACAAGCTGCAACTTAACAAAAACTGTATCACATAAAGATAGAGAAGAGTGGAGACCTTATAAAGCATATAAATGAGTTGGACGGAATCATTGATCAATCGAAGAAGATTGATATAAAGATGGAGGAAGATGAGAAGGCTTTGATTTGCGAAAATGATACAATAACATTGAAGCAAACACAAGCAATGATTAAGATTTGGAAAGACAAGTCAATCTACAAGGGATCCAACAATGTTCAGTGCTTTCGATGTAAAGGGTATGAATATATTTAATAGGATTGGCTATGAAAGAGAATAAATGTAACAAAAACAAAGGTGAGCATCTTTTCATTGTTGATGATGATAATTATCAATGATACATTTTCTCGCAATTTTCTGAAAGGATGGATACAAATTCTAGTAGTGGATGGTATTTTCAACTTTGTTTGTGTTACTCACGTTTAAAAGGATTAATTTGATCAGAAACTTGACTAACTTTAGTTGACAAGTCAATTGTGAAAATTATAAATCTTGGAGTTGTGAAATTAAAATATATGATATAATTTTGTGCTTTTTGGGTGGCATGCCCTATGTCCCAAAGACTATAAGAATCTCCTATCGTTGAACCTACCAGACTCCCAAAGGTGCGAACTCTTTGTCAATAATGGGGGGTAGAAGTCCCATAAAGCGCATGCTTCTAAAGAAGAGAATTTTCATAAAGCTTTGCATCGTGTGAAAGATAAGGCCTCGTAGGGGTAGGAGCAGTCATAGTTTGATTCATTGAACGGTGCACGAGGGATGCCAGCTCGTTTGGTTGGGCGAATAATTATTCCATTGCGCCTTATGTCAAGGGAAACACTAAAGACAATGTTTGTTTGTCTGAAAGGCTATTTCATAAAAATTTTTAAAATTAAAATTAAAAATAAAATTTGATTCAAAATTCAAGAACTAGGAGTATTATTAATCCTTTTTGTTTTCCCGTAGCTTTAATTTTTGACTTTATGCCGACAGAATTTGGTGTTCCCCAACAACCCCCTTAGCTTCGGATTTTTTTTTTTAACATCAAATGAAAAGTTTTGTTGACGATTAGATTAAACGACACCTAAGCATAACAAATTTACAATCTAAACGGTACCACGTTAGAGTTGTAGAAAATAATATTATTTGATAAAAAATGAAAAACAAATTGATTACGGGTAATGAGAATTTTTAACAATAAAAAATAATTATAGATTTTATTTATGTTAATGTGGCTTTCAATTTCATCTTACCGTTAACAAAATCTTTATTTAATTTAAAAAAAAACAGACGTTATCTTCATCTAAATGTACAATGAAATTTAAAAAGTAGTTAGTAGTATTTTTAAAATGATATTTAAAAATATAATTAATGTATTATTATTGGAATAATAATGTAAAATGACTATAAATTAAAGTTCAATATTAATTAAACTATTAAAATAATAGGGAACCAATAATTTGGAAATAACGGCATGCGATTTGACTTTAAAGTCAATGCAACGCACCGTTTTAAACTTTACTCAACAGTTTCTTTTTTTACCTCTTATTTAACCTCAGTAATAATAAATAATCTGTCGTGACACTGCTCAAATAGATCATGATAGGGTTTTAAACAGTATTGATTGTTTTTGAGGGAGATTATTTACTGTAAGGGGAATCGATATGTAAGACAAAAAATATTCGGTGTTGAATGTAAAATTTTAGTCGTATTTCGACACTTACATTAAGTAAATCCAACTTTATTTTTTATAACGTGAACGAGCGTGATTTAGTAGTGATCAACTGGTGTCGATGGTGCTGATCGATCAGCTGACGGTTGATGAATGTTGATAAGAGTTCACTAAGCATCAATGCGTTGACTCAACGACCTGGGTACAACATGCTGTAATTTTTAGACGGTTAAATCTCGAGGTTTAGTACAGAAGAAGGTAGGTTAAGACAAACGGAAAGCCGAAGAACGTCTTAACTTTTAACCCAATCTAGTTTTTACCAAAAACCGCTGCTAAAGTTCCTAAAGCACAACAGCCGGACTCCATCACAGCCTACTTCACCTAAATCCACAACAAAATTCTATTGTCTCGTCACACCCACTCTTTCACGCGCTTCCCTTCGCGTTTGCAGTTCACATCTCTCGTTAATCCTTCTTTTATAAATTCAGTTAATTAAAAATTAGATTAAAATATTAAAAAATTTTGAACTATTTTATTTTTAAAATAAAATTTATATTTTTATTATATTTAAATAATTTTTTATATTTTAATTTATATTCAAATAAATTTTTTAAATGAAAAATATTTATTTTAAGAGTTTATTTTTAGGTATAAATTAAAATTTTAAAGATTTATTTAAATATAAATTAAAGATTAAAAATTTATTTAATAAAAATTAAAATTAAAAAATTATTGAAATTAACATAAAATTTTATTTTATTATTTTATTCTAAAAATAAGAAAAAAGAACAACAACCACTTGGATTCAAGGCTAACGAGAGATTGTCACGTAAGCAAACGCAGAGAAAATCGTGGGCCTGAACTGACGTGCAAATCCAAACGCTGTCGTATCACCCTGCCCCGACTTGTAACAGCGAGATATGGAAGGAAAAATGCTGAAGAGATTAATTAATCAACCAAAAAGAAAACGTAAAAAAAAAAATAAATAAATAAAATAAAGGAGATTTAGTACTAATTAATTAATTAATTTCACAACGGCTTTGGTTTTCATATTTTTATAATCCAAAGCATAAGTTTTTATTTCTCTATCTTCCCTTTGTTTTCTCTCTTTTCTTCTCCCGTTTTCTTCCCGGAAAATTGCGTCAACCATCGCTGGTGAATTGCCGCCATAAATACATCGCGTTGCATCTACAGCGAGGTATCATTTTTCACCAAAGCTATTATTTCGTTTGAAAATCTGAAACTTTTTTATTTAATTTTTTTTTCACTTGCTTCCTTCGGGGAAGTTTTCGCTACAGATCTGGTGGATGAGAGAGATTTAGGTTTTCTTCTGTTGTTTTTAACGGATTCTGTCTTGAATTTGGGATGAATTTGAGGAAAAGAATAGGATTTTAGGGTTTTTGTTTGGTTTTGATGGAAGAGCGAATGAGATCTGGTGAGCATTCGGGGATTGTGGTGAAGAATAGGAACCAATTCGGATGTTTGATTGTGAGGAAGAAGGGGGATGGTTTGGGTGGGGCCGGGTCTATGGGGACCCGAAAGATTTACGAGTCCAAAAAGGAGAAGAAGAGGCCTAGGATGATTATGAGTGATTCGGGTTCTAGCGATGAGCTAGTAATGCCACCTCGAAGGAGGGTTGGGCCCGAAACAATTCAAATTAGTAATGGTTTAGCTTTTTATGAAGAAAGTGAAATTGGTCGGAAGAGGAGTAGGGAAGAGAGAATAAGGCGGAGTGAGGAAGATTTCATTGGTAGGAATGGAGGGGATTTGAGTGAGAGTAAGAGGAATAGGTTAGATGTGTTTGACTTTAATGAGTATGATGGACTTGATGAGGAGAGGATTATGAGGAGGAACCGATTTGATTATGGTGAAGTGGTTGGCGGGAGGAGACTGTTGGGTTCAATGCCTGCAGTTGCTCGGAGGAGTATTGAGAGAGAATATGGGAGTGGTCCAAGCAGGCATGTTTTCCTTGAGAAGAAGAAGAAGAAGAAGAAGAAAAATTTGTCCTTTAATAAGAGTGATGGGGTGAGTCGAGGTGATCATGATGATAGGAACAGGTTTAGGAAGGATAGGGATGGTGGTCGGCTGCATTACTCCTTGTTGAGGGAGAGTTGTATGGCTGATTTGGAAAAGCCCATCAGGGTTCAGGGAAAAAATGGTGTTTTGAAGGTAATGGTGAACAAGAAAAAGAAGGTTGGTGAGCCTTTGAAAAATTTTAGTCACTTGGAAGTTGGGGAAGCCCGGAGTGGTTCAAGTATTGATGATACAGTTAGGAGGAACTTGCATGCCCGTCCATCATTGTACTCTGATACAGAAGTTCCTGAGAAGCCTGTTTCACTTAGTAGTAAAGAGAAAAAGAAAATGAATTTGCTAAAGACACCTACAAATAAAAAGAAAAAGGTCTCTGACTGGGATTCAGGGGATAGTGATACATCTTTGAAACTTCAATCAAAGAACATGGAAGCTTCTAACTCGGCAAAGAGGGTAAGTAGCAAAGTGGAAAAAACACAAGTTGAGCAGCTTCTGCCTGCCAGAATCGGAGAAGGAAAAGTTAGGCGTGGATGTGGCACAGAAAAACAGAAATTACGTGAACGAATAAGGGGGATGCTTCAAGAAGCAGGCTGGACAATAGATTATAGACCAAGGAGGAACAGGGACTATTTGGATGCTGTGTACATCAATCCTGCTGGAACTGCTTACTGGTCCATCATCAAGGCATATGATGCGCTTCTAAAGCAGCTAGATGAGGAAGATGAGGGCAAACCTGGTGGGGATGGTTCTGCATTTACCCCATTATCAGATGAAGTACTCAGCCAATTAACTAGGAAAACACAAAAGAAGATGGAAAGGGAGATGAAAAAGAAGCGAAGAGGTGACAGTGAGTATGTAGAAGAAGCTGTTGCTCGGAAATCTTCAAGTACCAGGCATGAAGATGAGAGTATGGATAGCTTGAGTCATGAAGAGAAACTAAGTTCCTTCATTAAGCAGGGTAAGTCATTCAAATTTAGGATGAATGACAATGGTGTCTTCAGTGGAAATGCAAAAGGTCAAAGTTCTCACCATGTTCATGATAGCTATGAAAAGCCATCCTCTGTATCCAATTCTCATCTTGTTCATGGAAGAAAAAGTAGAAAACTTGGAAGATGTACTTTGTTAGTTCGTGGTTCTAATTTGGGTCTGAGTTCAGAAGGTGATGACTTTGTTCCATATTCTGGGAAAAGAACACTCCTTTCCTGGCTGATTGATTGTGGAGCAGTGCACTTGAGCCAAAAGGTGCAGTATATGAACCGCAGGCGAACAAAAGTGATGCTAGAGGGCTGGATTACAAGGGATGGAATCCATTGTGGTTGTTGTAGTAAAATCCTCACAGTTACAAAATTTGAGATTCATGCTGGAAGCAAATTGCGCCAGCCATTTCAGAATATATATTTGGACTCTGGTGTTTCTCTCCTTCAGTGCCAAATAGATGCATGGAACAGACAAGAGAAGTCTGAACAGATTGGTTTCCATTCTGTAGATGTTGATGGTGATGACCCCAATGATGATACTTGTGGCATTTGCGGAGATGGTGGGAATCTGATCTGTTGTGACAGTTGTCCCTCAACTTTTCATCAGAGCTGCCTAAATATAGAGGTATTTCTGCATAATTTTTGCACCTGCTATATAGTGTTTTACATTTACAAATGGTGGTCAGTCTCTCTTGTTTGCTTTCTTCTTCCTACCAGTTTTCCTTGGAAACTTCTGGGTCAGTTTTATTTTAAATAGAGGTTAATGCAGGCCTTGGAGTTGAAGAGATTTCCGAGTGTTGAGAATTTAGGGGATACTTGAGGGGCAACAAAACTCCAATTCATGGTTCTTTTTGTGGATCATTTATTTATTTTTGTCCCTTCGCCTTCCTCTTCCCTGGCCCAAGTCCAACCCTCTTCTTGCGCCCTCTTGAGAAATAGCAGCTGTGTTGCTTGAAAGTAGTTAATGACCAGAGTTAGATCTAAATATGTTGCTAGGTAATTCAATTTCTTCCTTTAAGCAGATAGTTATGTTCAATTATGAAGGTTATATCTATTGAGCTTATTCTAGGGATCCCTAAATTTGTTCAGTGCCAAACAAAATTAAGGGCATTCTTAAACTTCCGTTGACTAGCATTGCATGTGTAATTAAAGTGACAAGTGAAGCCATATGTCTCTCTCTTTTCTATAACTTTTCCTGAATGTTTTCTCCTGGGTTACTGTTCCCAAGTCCTATTCCCTGAGTTGTTATCAGTAATGTTTTGGATCTTTATGCAAGAAATATTTGTCTGTGGCTTTGTGCTGCTCCCTCAAATGGTTGTGCTGTTGAAACATAGTTGTACTTTTACATATATATAAACTTCTATCATATTGATGACCTGAAAAGCATTGGCTTTTAACTTTCTTGCTAAAGATGAAGTGAAAAAAGTTTTATCCTGCTTACAGTACTTGGTAGTTTTTATTTTTATTCTTTTGAACTTTTTCTCTGTTAGAAAGTTTACTTTTTTGACCTTTTGTGTTTGTTGCCTTATACTGCTTAGTAGTTGAACACAAACTTAGCTTGTGCTTGTTAACTTATACTGCTTGCTTGAACACAAAATTAGCTTAATTTTGCTTTTATATAAATATACACATTTACAGTTTCTACCAGCGGGTGATTGGCACTGTCCAAATTGCATATGCAAATTTTGTGGCAATGGCGGCAATATTGCTCAAGAGGATGATATAACTGATTGTGCACTTCTCACTTGCAGCCTGTGTGAGAAAAAATGTACTCGTTCTCCTTTTTTTTTTTCAAGTGTTCTCAGTTCTTTGAAGTTTGAAGTTGTTGTCATGGTTTCCTCTCCTTTATTTCTTTTCAATACAATTCTGATAGTTTCCACTTTTGTAGACCACAAATCATGCATCAAAATGATGGATGAGCTTCATATTGATTCCAACAGTGTGGTTCTTCCTTTTTGTGGGCAGACATGCGGAGAGGTAATGTGCTTTCCTTCTGTTAGCATTTGAATGCTGAACTTTATAATTAGATATAAATCATGAAATTAGGAAAAATCTATCAGAGAAGCAATCATGCCATTTATATACCACCTTTAAAAGATGTTAAGCCTATCTATCATCAAATTGTAGAGAAGGCAGAATGTTTTTCAGAGAGTAATTTTGGTTTTTCATGACATGATGGTATTAACCTATTGTTGCTATGATTGTGGCTAAATAAAACTGTTATCATGAACTCTATTGACGATGAAATTTTCTTTGCATGTGGTGTTCACTTTTTTCCCATAATATTATTAAACAGAAACAGTTCACCTATGTTTGTAATATGTGTTATCTGGTAGATTGTATCTTATGGCATTTGACATGGGATTTTGGTTTTCTAGTTTGTTCATTATTCATTTAGTGCCTCTCAAAGTTTCTTTCTTTATTTGGGAATTATGATTGTTTCTTTTAAATGTAAAAAGTTGGTAACACTACAATATTGATGTGTCACTGTGGATAAAACTGTTATCATGAAGTGTAGCAATATATTTTCTATATTTTGCATTTCATGCTTGCTTTTTTATTATAATATTGTTTAAGCAGGAAGATTGTTTTCTAGGTGCATAATATATGTTCTTTGGTAGATTTATCTTGTGTCATCATTTGATTCAGGAATATGTTTTTTAGGTTTTTTCTCTTATTTATTTTATGTATTTCGAAGTCCTAATTCTATCTCTAATCTTCTTTTTTCCTGGAATAAAAATTGGTATCTTTTTTACTAGTTTCTATGGGGTTTGTTTTGGTTCATGTCTTATCTGCTTTTATGTCATTTATGGAGGCACAATGTTCAAATATGTGAAGGCACATTTTCAGAAGGCGCATTTTCAGAAATGTTTTTGTTGTTCCTACAGCTCTATGATCATTTACAGAAGTATCTAGGGGTCAAACATGAACTAGAAGCAGGATTTTCATGGTCTCTTGTTCAAAGAACAGATGCAGATTCTGACACAATTGCCAGAGGGCTTTTGCAAAGGGTGGAATGCAATTCTAAACTAGCTGTTGCACTGACTGTTATGGATGAATGCTTTTTGCCCATTGTTGACAGGAGGAGTGGGATCAACTTAATAAATAATGTCCTTTATAATTGTGGGTAAGCATTTTGAATGCTGAGTTTAAAGTGGTGTTCGTTTTATTAGTTTTTTTTCCTAAATATTGCTTCTCTAGCTGATTACACTTTATTTATTTTGTTTCTTAATGTAGATTATTAGAGTCTTGTCCTAATTTGTGAAATGGATTTTTGTTTACTTTTCCGGTGATCTTCTTTGAATTTTTCCATTGTTTCAGATTATTTTTGACATATTTGTATGAACCCTAGCATGTATTTGCGAGTTTCGGTGAATAGAATGTTTCATTATGCTGTTTGAGAGCTATTATGGGCTTGCATGCTCATTTATGATTGTTTTTATTGCATTTCTTGTCAGACTATGGATATGCTTTCAGAGAACTGTCTGATAGTGATAATATGCAGTATTTTTACATATTATAACAATTTTCCAAAAGGATCCTCGGGATAAATTTCATATTTTGGTGTTGTTGGAACTGTGTTTTATTTTTACAGTTTAAAATTACATTGAACTCTTATTTCTGTTATGATTTTGGCTAATATCTCTATCCATTCTTGCTTTCTGCTTGGATTAGATCTTGAGTTCTTCTTTAGTTTGTTCCTTTCCAAGATTATACAGATAATAAAAACCATGGCCTTTATATCCTTTGTCAAATATCAAATATGTAATTGTTTGCAATTTGTTGCTTTTTATCTTTAAAGATCGAACTTCAGCCGGCTGAATTATAGCGGTTTCTACACTGCTATTCTAGAGAGAGGTGATGAAATAATTTCTGCAGCATCAATCAGGTAAATAACATTTTGGCATCTATATGCCGCACCTTTTCCCCTTGCAGTTAATTATCTTTGGTTGGGTAGATAAAAATTTCAGACAAACACAGTGAAGACCAGAATCACCTAACAAAACACAAGTACCTGACTTCTTGGACTGGGTGTGGGTTTGATGCACACATTTGGATTATCATTCAAATAAATGCTTTGCCGATTTGATGTCCTATTGTGCTATGTAGGTTCCATGGAACTCAGCTAGCAGAGATGCCATTCATTGGCACTCGCCATATATACAGGCGTCAGGGAATGTGCCGTCGGCTTTTCTGCGCTATTGAGTCGGTAAGCTGTGAGGAGTAATTCATTTAAGTGTGTTTGCATGTGTGTATCTCTCTCTCAACATATGTATTTGTGTATATATATTTCCTGTTATCCTTTTGCTTAATTTTGTTGTTCCTTGTATCGTTAATCTAATTTATTCTTTTTGTTGTCTGAAGGCTTTCTGCACTCTCAAGGTTGAGAAACTAGTCATCCCTGCAATTGCTGAACTTACGCATACATGGACTGCAGTTTTTGGTTTCACTTCTCTAGAGAAATCACTTAAGGAAGAAATGAGGTCCATGAATATGCTGGTCTTCCCCGGTGTAGATATGTTGCAGAAGCTACTGTTGGAGCAAGAAAACACGAAAGCAAACTTGACTGCTGTCACAGGTTTTAGTTAATGCAATTTTTACATTGTTTTCAATTATGTTTATTTACTGTTCTCTAACTTCTCAAAATTTGACCCTGTAGGTCCAAAGCAAACTGAATCAGGATCTAATGAATGTATCACACCTGAGGCGGCTAATGAATCTAAACCTGGTTCCTCATCTGGGCATGATTCTCAACAGTTTGATGATGGTGGTTTGCATCATGCTAGTCTGATAAATGGTGGAACTGCCGCCGCAGATTCAGATTCCCAATGTCCTAATGTTTCTACCAATGATACTGGTGGAACTAGTGGTTCCTTGGATGCATCCCTGGAGCCTAATGTTTTTGTCTCATTTGAGGGAACTACACTTACTAAGTATCAAACAGGGGACAAGAGGAACGAATCTGCATCAGATGGTAAATGTGAAGTTAACCTTTGCTCAAGCCATGACGCACTTGAGGTGGAGAATAAGGCAGAACTGGATTCTCCTGCCGAAGATAATAATCAATCTCGTACAGAGGGTATGGATGATACCTGTGCAGTAGGTGTTATTGAATCTAAAGTCCCAGCCTCTGAAGATTCGACTGATTCACGGCCAGGGGACAAGGCTGCTGAATCTACTTCTGACAGCAAAAATCTTGCTACCTCATCTATGGACTATAGTGCAGTAGACACGGGAAATAAAACAGTATCAAACTCCCTTATCCAGAAAAATACTCAGTCCTGTGAAGAGGGTGATTTGGATGCTGCCCATGCAGGTGACGCCATTGCTGCTGCTTCTGATGTCAAAACTGAGCTCACCGTTGAAGAGACTATATGTACCATATCTCAATCTGGGGACAAGCTAGCCGAATCTCCTGTCGGAAAATCTCTTGTTTCTGATGGAAGTCCTGAAACAGGATGGAAAAGAAATTAGAATCAGAGTGATGAAGAAAACATTCAGTCTTCTAAAGGAAGTGATACGAGCAATGATCCAGTTGATAGTATAGCTGTTTCTGATGAACTTGAAGTTGGAATCTCTATTGAGGAAATCACACCTGCCGATTCTGAGTCCAGGGACAAGTTACCGGCTGCTTCACCGGGTAAATCTTTTATCTCTGGTACAAGTGCAAATCCTGATGCATTAGGGATGGAAAATAAATCAGCATTGAATATTCGCAGTGAAGATTTTAATCAGTCTTGTGAATAGCATGATGTGTGTGATCAGAGTTGGATTGGGGGCAGCATCCCCCATTGAAATACTTTTAACTTTTTGGTTGTATTATGTAATTACCACTAGTTTTAGTAAGGATACAATTTTTTCTCCCATTGAAATTTAAAATTGGTATTTCACTTTAAAATTTAAATTTGATTGTTGTTTAAATCACATACCTATGACTTTTTTTTTTAATTTTATTTTATTCAGAAAATCTAGTATAAAATTTTTTTGGTCAAACAATAAATTATATTTAGGGAAGCACTTTCTTATCTAACTAATTAATTTTATTAAAAATCAAAACCAAGAAATGAAGAATTAATTGAGTGTTTAATGCAAGAAGAGGTTATGCTAAATGGCTTAAAATTTTAGAAAGGGGCATAAATCTAATGACGTGTATGTAAATACTGTAAATTCTATAGATAGTGTTTTATATCTCCAATTTGAAATATTCAGGTCATTATATTTAAGATAGAATCCCATAACTTGCTTAGAGCTGTTAAACTTTGATTGAATCTAAAAACTTGTTCAAGCCATCTGGAATTGGGCTTCATCTGATTGTGATTACTTGATTCAATTCAAATTGAAAGCTTGAATCAAAATAGTTTTAAATTAAAACTGGATCAAATTTGAAACGAACCCAAATAAAATGTTATTCAAACTTAAATTATCCAACTTGAGATGATAAAAAATTCATAAATATTTGAAAGTTTAATTCAAAAGAATTCAAACTATAATTAAATGATTTTATATCGAATAAGTAGATAAACGATTTATAAGCTTTCTTGTTTAATAAAAATTTCAAATTAAAAAATATTTATAAATATTATAAAATTATTGTATAATATATTTCAACATTTCCAATGTTGTTTTCGAAAAGGAAAAACATTTTCACTGTTAAATATTTTAATTGAATTATAAAAATAATTTAAGATCATTAAATATGAATATCAAATGATTTTTTTATAATATTTGCATTATTTAAAACAATTAACTATAGAAAGCAGAAGTTGATGAGAAATTGAAAATTTTGAATGGCTTTTTTTTAAAAGAAATTGCTTCCATTTTGTTTTTATCATTTTTATTATTTTCTCAAATTTTAAATTTTAGTTTCTATAGAGGGAAAAAGATAAAAAGGTCCAAAGATAATCATTTATTATTTTAGTTTTACTTGAAATTTAATTGACTTATTGTTATGAATTGATAAAATTAAAACTAAATTGAGAATAAAATCAATCATTACTCATAAACTAAGACATAAGTTTAAAAGTGTATTAATGAAAAATAGTTTTTAAAGTGTATTAATAAGAAATAGTTTTAATTTAAACTATTAGTTATCATACCCGCACTTCGTTGCAGGACATTAAGAACAATGGACATTGAATAAGGAATGGATAATATTTAACTGTAAATGCAAGTGATTTAATAAAGCTAAAGTTCAAACTGAAAACATAAGCAGAAAGTTTTTTTAGAAAAAGTGATGTTGCAAAAAGTGATGCTCCATAGTTGATTATAACTCTCAAATAAGTCTAACAAAAGTGGGAGCATCAGTTAATGCTGCAGTGGATAAAGAGTTTTTACAAAATGAGAACATAAGCATTTTTATGGTTGGCTGGTGTGGTAGATGAAAACATTGAACTTATATGATGCAACCTTACAGAATATGCATTGGTTTCTAGGGTTAAGGTAGTTATTAATGATGAAATGACGCTAGCCACTTGAGAAAGATTTGTTGTTACTTGTGTAGATGTAATGGATAGGCCATTCCTTTTGATCTTCTTCCATATTGTTGTCCGTGTTATGAACAAGGAATTCTAGTTCATGCTTTGGTAAAGTAAGAATGAGATCAACTGGATGGTTTGGAAGATAGTGTTTAACAAATACTGTAGGGACATGCTGCACAAAGGAGAGCATTGTTATGAATTAGATATATTAGTAAGATAAACAGGAGTATTCTACCTTTGTATATCAATCATTTGCATTATTAATATGTATAATAAAATTGACTGCAAGCATTGAATTCTAAGGAAGTTTTTTTAACTAGAGTATAAGATGTTCGGACATTGGTTGCAATCATTGTGCATTGAAAGAGGGGAAGTTGATTGTTTGAGTCTAAACCCGAACTTGAGTCTTCAACCTTGATAACTTTAGCAGGTGGTTGTTTTCGTCTCATCTATCGTTTCAAACTTGTCATTAAATGAATTTTTCCTTTTTAAGTTTGTTTTAAGCTTAAACTAAGGATTTTTAAAAAGAATAGATTATGGTTTACATTAATAAAACTAAGTTTAGAAGTCAGTTAAGTGTAGGAAAGATTTTAACATCCCACAAATTAATTACATGTTATCTTGTTTAAGCTTTAATTTAAATGGTCTTTATTACCTATTTTAATAATTTTGATATTTAAATATTAAAAAAAACGTCTTTAAGCTTTTACCAAAAAGAAATTTCTTTAGTATTCAAGATAAACTTATTGTTTATTTGAAGAGACTTCATTATTGGATTTATTAAATATCTTATGAAAAATAAACTCTTAATTCCTTTTATTTATTCACAAAATAATGTCATACAAATATATTATCAAAAATCATAGAAAAATATCATGCAATAATATCATAATTAAAATATGTAAAAGTCATGCAAAATATCATGCAAAAAAAAAAAGCAAAAATATCATAATCGTGCAAAAATAATAAAATTCATACAAAATGTCATGTGCATATATCATAATAAACTATGCAAATAAATAAAATCCAATACAACATATTAGGCAGTTATATAAACTATGATCTATGCAAAATATCAAGCAAATATATAAATAATTTTCATACAAAATATCATGTAAATATATGAACTAAATTATAAAAATTCATATCAAAGTTTTTTTTTTTTCTCATTATTTTTCAATTCAATAACAATTAATAAATAAATAAAAAAGAAAATAAATAAAAAGCAAAAATTAAAATATAAAAACAAATCAAATAAAAAATAAAAAAAAAGAAAAACTTGCAATCAAGTCGGGTTGGACAACGGGTCAACACGAGGGTCATTACAGTTTGAAACGCTAATTTAGGATTTCAAAACGTCATCTCGATCTGGTATAAAAGCCAAAAATCTCCATTTTCTTCGGATTCATTTTCTCTATGTAGCTCTTTTTTTCCTTTGACCTTTCTAGAACTTTAATTGTGAACTTCAACCCAATTTTAGAAAACAACTACCAATTCCAGAATTCAGCACCGAAAAATTTAACTTTCCTAAAAGCTTTACAAAAACTCAGAAACTGGTCATCGTGAAATCATCCAACCATCGTGAAACTCACTAAAAAATTCAAACCCTGTAAAAAATTCAAAGAAAAAAAATCCAAAAATTCAACTTAAATCTTGAAAAACTTAAAATTCCCAAAAAATTAAAAACTCCAAAAATCCCTAAAATTTCAAAAAGATCCCCAAATCACAAAAACAACAAAGAAACCTCAATTCCCAACTTCTTCACTAAAATTTCTTAAGAGCAAATTCAAAACCATCAAACTTTTCTAAACCCAGAACTGAAATTCCCAAAAATTTTTCTATGTGCTTTGATTGTAGTAATTACTTGCTTGATTGCTTCTATGCTTGTTGGCGCCTGTGATTAAGTGTTGGGGCTTTATATTGGTATTAAATTTCACTTCAATTTGGAAAACCTCAAATCTTATCAAATCTTGGCAAAATTTTCAAGATTTTTTATTGGATCTTTCTTTTACCAAGCAATCTTAATGCCCAAGTATTTCCAAAATTAAAACATGTTAATTACTTTTGAATCTTGGACTTGGATTTTCATATATTGAATTTATGAATCTTTCCTTTTTTGATTTTCTCTCTCTCTCTCTTTTTATCACATGCCAAAAAACCAAAAATAAAGTAATAATAATAAAAACAAAAAATAAGATAGAAATTAAAATAGAAAATAGAAAATAAAAATAAAATAACAAAAATGGATTAAAATAAAAATATAATATTGGGGTTTTTTATGTTGGGGCTAAAGTTTAATTTCAAAATTAAAACCCAATTACAATTTTTCATCTAATTATTAAAATTCAAAACCCAGTTAAATATAAAAAAAAATTGAACAAAATGGGGTGTCTACAGTTGTCATTTTTTGTACATTTTCTATGAAGTAAGAATTCTACAAAAACAAAAGAAAAAAAATTCATTTTATCCATGTCAAGAAAAATTAAAAAAGTTCCCCTTCAACAAAGACTTTGAAACTGTGAAAAATTTAAAATACACATTTTCAATAGAGGCTTTGAAACTTTAAAAATTCGTAACAGAAAAAGCTTTTTTTTCAATAAAGGTATTGAAACTTTAAAAAACTTGCAACCAAAAAAAGCTCATTCTCAACAAAGTCATTGAAACTTTAAAAATAAAAAGGTACCTGAAGATTTTCAAAATCATACCTTGAACCTTGAGGTCTTATAGATCATTATTATCTTTGAAAAAAATCCTCCTTAATAGAGGTGTTGAAACTTTAAAAAATTTCAGTCCAAAAAGTCTTTCCTTAAAATGATTCTTTCATCTTAACAACTTCATCCTTGACCATCATTTCAATCCCAATGTCTAATTTCTCATTATTACTTTCCAAGCATATACAATGAATGCCATGTAATTTCTTGAAATTTTTACTCAAATTTCAATTTTGAAACTCAAAGTTTAATTTTTCCTCTTCTTCAGTCATGCATAATGAATGCAATGAATGAATATGATGAATGCAATGTTCTCAATATGATGCATGTAATGAATGCAAGCTATGAATACGATACATGCAATGTAGTGCATGATGCAGTTCATTTATCTCTTTAATTGTGGTTAATCAAAAAGTTCTCAAGGTTCTTTCCATATTTTCTCATATTCTTCAACTCTTCAATGTTCATAGTTTTCAACATGGGCTATCAATCACTACCAAATGGTTTGATTTATTTTGTTATTCAAATTCAATAATTTTTTTTTTTACGGCCAAATCTCGAGAATATATTCTTAGTTGCTAGGGATTGACATTTTTTCCAAGCCTTTTTTTATCATTTTTCACACTTTTACTATCCTCAATCCTCATTTTAAAGCAATGTGGAAATCTTTTATGAATTTTTATTCATTTATTCGTCATTATTAAAATATTACAACAAACACAATGC